AGTAGTAGTAGTAGTAGTAGTAGTAGTAGTAGTAGTAGTAGTAATAATAATAATAATAATAGATAGATAGATAGCTTTTGTATAGCACAAATCCCCGCTCAACAGCAAGCTCTATGCGTTTCACAATCTATACTATTGCCCCAGCAGATCTGAGACATTCTGAAACAACCTCAACTTCCTGGGAATGTTACAACACAATGTGTCATCAAATTGTTCCCTAATGTTAAGATTGACGTGCAAGTGAAGGCTACTTTTGCGTGTTCCAGTTGGTTAGGCACTGTGTCTTTGCATACAGACGGCGTGAGTTCTTAGTTTAGCTCAGTTTTAGTAAGAGTTTTACGGCACTTGCAACACAATAAGGTAATATAAGTGCCGAAGATTATAGGTGTTACAAGAGAGTTACAAACACAAAAGAGAAGGAGTAGGAGAGATGAGGACGATAGATGTTTGATAGGAAAGAAGAAGCAAACCACACCAGACCACCCACGAACCACCCATTGATGTGAGTTCGGTTCACTTTGTGAGAAAGTTGTTTATCCAGTAAGCTCTGTGTTCCAGTCAGATGTTAGATTTGGAAGCTTCGGATATACAGGATCCAATAGTGCTAATGATGATATAAAGAGGGCATTTTTAAAAACTTTTTATTAATGAAATCAATGAAATTGAAGAGTGCTTTTAAAGGGAAGCGCTAAGTTACAATGTTGTTTAGTTACGTTACTCACGCGCCCGAAGACACACAGACACACACTCATACATACATACACGCACACATACACACATGCACACACGCACACACACACACACTGTTTTGAGCAAATGGAAGGTAAAGTTTTTGCCCCTTGTTCAGTTTCTTTCAAAGACATGGAGAATGTTCACTATAACCAAACAAATATACACACTAATGAAACCAAACTTCTCCTATATAGGTAGGATAATGCACACTTTTGGTGTAGGTCAAGATTTCTAGAAACCCCCGAAATCTGGGTTAGCCCGCTTATCCTTAAAAGCGACCGATATCTTTTCTGTCAACAAGTCCCTCCCTTCTCATGGTGACAAAACAAAGGAACGACAAAAGATAAACCACTATAGGTTCGCCAGATATCCCTGTCCTCTGTTGTTAAAGAAACGCAAACTTGACGTAAACCTATGATATCATAGCCCCAGAGTGTGGGTTTTGGCGGGAATGATAGTGCAGACCTAGTGATTGCAGACCGCGCCCGGCGCGTGCCGCGTGATAGGATTAGTGAGGATTATCACGCCTGGGCTGTTGAAAAAAACAACTCCTCCGTAATCTTGATCGGTTATCCGCCTCACAAAGAGAGAGAAGGGGGGA